ATTTACTTCACAATATATGCTTCCTTTGGAAAAGAGAGTGAAGTAGAGAAAAGAGGATATTAAGAGGAAAAGAAGGGTTGGTTTTTGTTTATTTTAATTTTTAGACTTATAAATAAGAAAGTTATTTGTCCTTTAACTGTAAATACTAACAAAAAATAATGATGTTGAGAGTTTAGATATTGATAAAATATTCTCAAATGCTTATATGTTATTTTAGTTTTCAAAACAATCATGGTTGTTACAAAAAAAAACACATGATTTAAAGTAACAATTTTAGAGTTAAAGAAACAAAAATGTACTTTTGAAAATTAAGGGACTAAATTAAAGTATTGTATAAAGTTAAAAAAAATCAAATGTATACCTTAACCAGCTATTAATTGTATAGGGTAATTTATTATAAATTTTATATTTTCTATGAAAAATTAATATGAGGGTTCTTATTGTTTCATATAATTTTTAACTAGGTTTAATTTTTTTTTTCCTTTTTTTTATCATGTTCTTAGAGTTTTACCAAATTTTAATCAGGCCCCTGTAATTTCAGGTGCGGGGAAAAAACCACAAAAGGCTTATTACAGATTAGATGAAACTATCGAAACCTAATGAAAAAAAATGAGGACTTAATTAAAATTAAGTGAAATTATAAGTTCATGATAAAAAGAGAAAAATACAAAAAACTTGATTAAAAAATCGTAGGAAACTATAAATACCTACAAATTAATTTTTGCAATTATATTCAATGGTAATGTCCTTTTAAACCCTTTTTTTTTTGAGTCAACTTAACCCATTTTGTAACCATTCTTATTCTTCTATGGCATATTTTATATTTTTCTTTCTTGCAAAATTATATCAAAATAAGTTCAAATATCTTGCGAGAAATGTTAGACATGACTCAGGGATTTGGACACCAAAATTTTCATGGGCGTTGCACAAAGTTTAGAAAATAAACAATTTTTTATATATAGCCTTTAATTATAATTAAATTGCTTTGAAGATACTATTGAAGAATATTTAAACGATATTTTTAATAATTTTTTAATTTATAAGGTATATATTGGTACTCCACACTCAATTGTTTTCTTCGTCTTTTTCCTTTTCCAAAAACGAACCTCTACGTTAATATCTTGAGACAAAATACATCTAAATGCTTCCACCCTTTGTTTTTACACTAGCAGCTTTTTTTTCCTCTTTGTTTAATCTATATTCCCGCAACAACTAAGCCATCCTTGTCTCGTAGTTATGATTGAAAACTCCTTGTCCCAACTACACATGGAAACGATACATGTTATATACACACCACTAGTTCACCAGAGGTTCTTGATAAACTTTGCAACATCATCTTCTCAGCCATGAAGCTTCGTCTCAACGAAATTCTTCACCATATTCATATCAAAAGAGCTCTTCTGATTCCATTCTTTCTGTTTCTAGTTCTGATCCCTCTTCCTTTCATTAAGAACTACTCACACCAGTCTTCTTCTTCTTCCTCCTCCTCTTCCTCTGAGATGAGAAAAACCAGTAGTGATTTGCAGAAAAGCAGCAGTGATGAGATGATGATGAAGAGATGCGATGTGTTTTCTGGGAAATGGGTTCCAAATCCAAGAGGGCCTTATTACGATGATCGAACGTGTAATTCAATAATAGATCAGCAAAACTGCATCAAGTCTGGGAGACCTGACAGAGAGTATCTGAAATGGAGATGGAGACCTGATGAATGTGAGCTTCCATTGTTTAATGCAGCTCTGTTCTTGAAGCTTGTCAGAGGAAAATCCATGGCTTTTGTTGGAGACTCAGTGGGAAGGAACCAGATGGAGTCTTTGTTGTGCCTCATAAGCAGAGTAAGTCAAAATTTTCAACTTAATTAATGATTACACATTATGAGGATTTGGATTCAGTAACAGAGCCAGCCATATGGATTCTTCGTTTAATTGGAAACAGACGCCTATGATTGACTCTTAGTGCGTCTAATTTAATGGTTGAGATCTACTTTATGCATAAATGTGATGGAAGATGTACTTGCATGAAATGGCTACTAGCCATTGTAACTTATAAACCGGACTTGGGTTTAGCAGAAGAGGCTGATTCTTCACAATATAAAGAACTAATGTTTGAATCTCCGTCAAAAGAGACGCCCACATTTAATACCTAATAATGCTTCTAATATAAAGATAATTGCGCTTGGGGGGGGGGGGAATTCATATGGGATAAAGTGAGCTTCCAAAATCTGAGAATGCTTTTTCCTCTCTCTAAATTCTAAAGTTTTCAATTGGAGAAATTTTGGGCAAGTGGGCCCACAAAGGAGAAATTTTGGAAAAGAAAATTTCCCAACTAGAAATGAGTTTTCCTACTTATAACTTTTGAGAATTATAATTTATGATAAATTTATGTTCGATTTTAATTTTGATAATGAGGGGAAGTAAAATCTGTGTGTGTGTGTGAGAGAGAGAGAGTGAGAATTCCCTACCTTTTCCTCCCCTCATCACTCCTAATTCACCCTTTGTGTCTAAATAAACTCATCAGTTTATTTCTTGTTGTCGTGGCTTTTTTTTTTTTAACTTATTATTTCAATCTTGCTTGTTTTGGAAACCTGTTTGCTAAAGTAAAAGTGGGTAAAAGAGATACTTAGTTTGACCAAATCTTCTGATAATTTTGTTTTTCATTTACCAATATCATCTTAATCTGACCCATCTTTCAAAATGTACGACTTACTTTAGATTATTACACAGTTGGATAACAATACAATTTTATTTTACATTTTAAGTGATGTTTCTGTCCCCAAAAGAAATTAAACAAGCGATGCTTTGATTTTCTACCAAATTTAGAGTCCCACAATAATAGTTCATAATTTTCGGCATCAGTAACAAAATTTGACAGAGCTAATACTAATGAAATTTTAAAGTTAAAAATTAAAATTATTTTTTCAGAATGATCAAAACATTGTTACAAAAGTTCAAAATTTAAAAATTATTAAAAAAAAAAAACGCAGCACTCTTTTAGCCTGTCATTTGTAAAGTTATCATCTCACCCAGAGAAGCAGAAATATCAACCCTAAAAATAATTTTATTCTTTTCAGGTGGCGCACCCTGAGGATATTTCCCTGAGGGAAACATCAGACACAAGATATTTCAGAAGATACTTCTATGCTAAATACAATTTCACTCTCACAGTTCTGTGGGCCCCATATCTGGTGACCACAAGAGATGCTAAAGACACAGTTCATTCTTACAACAGCCTCATGAACCTGTATTTAGATGAGCCAGATAAAGCTTGGGCCAATGAGATCAAAACTTACAACTATGTCATCTTCTCAGCTGGCCACTGGTTCTTTCGTCCAATACTTTACTATGAAAAAGGTCACATAGTTGGATGTACCAGCTGCAACATGAACAACATAACAGACCTAACAAGCTATTATGGCTACAAAATGGCATTCAGAACAGCATTTAGGACACTTCTGAACCTTGAAGGCTATAAGGGGGTGACTATTTTGAGGACATTTTCTCCTCCTCACTTCGAGAACGGCCAGTGGAACACAGGAGGGAGTTGTCCGAGGACAAAGCCGTTTAAGGAGGGGGAGGTGAAGCTAAAGTGGTATGCTCAGGAAATGTATTTGAGTCAGGTGGTAGAGTTTAGAGCAGCAGAGAGAGAAGGGAGAAAGAAGGGTTTGAGGTTTTGGTTGATGGACATAACTGAGTTGATGTTAATGAGACCTGATGGGCATCCTAGCAAGTATGGACGTTCAAGGGATAACAATGTGACTGTTAATGACTGTGTTCACTGGTGTGTGCCTGGCCCTGTTGATACGTGGAATGAGTTTTTGCTCTATATCATGAGAATGGACAGTCTGAAATCCTCCTCTAGTTCAGTGTTGTAGACATTTTTAAACAAGATTAAGTTCTAAAATGTGAGATATATTCTGTTTTTTTCTCAACCAGTTTTAGGCTGAATTGGTTTTGGGGGGGGGGGGGGATAGTATTCTCTGTTCTTCATGGTGGATTCTGGAACATAATGCCAAGAATATATATATATAAATATCATAGTATATCTTATGTGATCAGTTGTAATGTTTTGACTTTTCACATAACTATCTTATATGCCCCTGCCGTGATGGCAGGTATTGAACTCATTCGGCTGTAGGAAGTTGGAAGGAGAAGAGAACAGAAAACATCCAAGGAAAATGGAAAGGGACAGGAAGGTTAAATGATAATTCTCCTTACTTTTCTCCATAACAGATTGAGAAACTTAAAAATAAAAAAGAAGAAAAATTAAAAAGCCTACTTGAAACCTTCCCTTCCCTTACCTTCCCTTTTATTATCACCCTTCCAAGCAGAATATTGATCGAATAATCATCTGGAGGGCAACAGTGGCATCAGTTGATATTGATCGAAACTAAATCGCGGGGCTAGGAATTTCTGATGCCATGCTCACAAATAGAGCAATGGCCTAGTGAGACATAACAAGGTGCCACAATGACAATCTTGCTCTTGTCAGGTCACCCCTAAAAGATGTTGGATAGGGAGGAAATTAGGGAAATACTACCTCCGGTCCTAATTATAAGACCCAGTTGACTAATTTGAGAAGATTAAAAAAGTAAGTTGAGTTAGTTATTTATCCTAAATATGTGTTGTCTTTCCTAAAATATCCTTGCTAATCAAGTGTATTAACTAGAACTATCATTGTTAGAAGGGTTATTTTGGAAAAAAATGTATAAATATGAGAGACAAAGTGGGTTAGGTTCTTATATTTAAGACCAAAATAAAAGTCAAACAGGGTCTTATATTAAGAACCGGAGGTAATAGAAGCTTTCCCTCGTAATATTCACTCCTCCCAATAAAGCACAATTTCATAGCATGTAAAACATCAACATTGCTACCCTGACATCATGTGTTCAACGTGTACAGACAGATAAGAACAATACACATGCACTGAGGTCTCCACAGAGAAAGGAGAAAACAATTCAGCAATTTCCGTCACTAAATAAATAAGGAAGATAATGTTGGTGAAGCTTTCGCAAGTCATAAGCAATATTAATCACTTGATTAGCATCTTCTTCGTGTTCAAGTACTTACATTTCTTATGAGCCAGTGTTCCATGATCAAAATAGTACGTACAGGCTAAAGAAGCATCCCTATTACAACCCAAGGTATGACCATGTACAGTGAAAAGAATGATACATTTAGCTGCCTTTCTAAGAATTTGTATATGTATAAATAATTTCTCCCAGGCAATCAAAATGATATCTTGATAAATACAATTACGTGTAAAGCTAAAATGTAGAGCACAAATGCCGACCTGAGCAGCATTATCCTCTGTTGGCTTTCATTTCTGCCATCAGAATAGTAAGGAAGCTTATGATGACCATCACCATCATAATCTAACAGAGCATATCCCTTGTCAGATGAGCTTCTACCAAATCGATTTCTAGCTGTATTGGCCTCAGTAATATTGCTTTCCATTCTTCGCCATTGCCCATTCAGTCTTTCCAGCTCCATCTCTTTCAGATGAATTTCACTAAGTAGGCCCTCAGCTTGAGCCTAAAAGCAAGAAAGGAAGGCAGTTTATTAAACACATGCAAAGATTCAATATAACAGTTCTGCAATACACAAATAACGGAGTGTTTATGGAGAATGAAGCATGAAAAAAGGACCTGTTTTGCTGCTAGTTGCTCAATTAGACTGTGAAGCTGTTTATCCAATGCCTTCTCTCTTTGAGCTGTATATTAAGGGGAAAAAGAAAAGGAGAAGAAAACTGATTGATGCCAATATATTTAATGCAAAGTATCACTCAAATGAAACTACTGCGAATGTAGTACATAAGTACAATATTGAGAACATCCATATCCAAGAATGCAAAGAATATCAACAATGATCCACCATAGAAGAAAGCACCCAATACTATTTTTTGAGTTTTTCATAACAAAATGAAAGCCAAGAGAGGATGGCATATAAATAGAATTGATTAGATCAATTAGATGTCCATATGTCCTTAAAAAGATTCATATGACTCTTAAATAAATTGATGAATGACTAGTGGAGAGGGGAAGAAGATATACCAGGGGAAGGGTGCTCAAGAGCATTTTCCTGCATTTCGGTCCATTTTTCCTCTAATTTTCGTACAATTTCTTCCATTGAACTCTGAATGAATTATGTAACTATTTGTTAACAATAATAACTCCCTATTAAATAATAATATAATGGAAATGAACTTAAGAAAGCAACTTATGATTAAAACCATAACAGACCAATTCTTTGTTCTTCTCTTCTAACTTGTTTAGCATAACAGAATCTGATGCATCTGCATCTGTGCCAGCTTCAGGCTTTATGTTGGATTCTTCCTTCCAGCCATGCGATCTCACAGATTGATCAGTATCTACAGAATTTTGACGTTTTAAATTATCCAGCTCAGCTTTCAGCTTCTTCTCAGTTTCATTCATTTCCTGAAGCACAGGAAAAAGAGAAAGAAAAAAAAACAAGAAAATATCAAAACCAAATATATTTTGCGCTGAGTATGAAGCATGAACATGTTGGCAAAACACCCATGTCCATGTCTAGCATGCATGGATATTTGTGCAAGACATGACACGACATTTCAAACAGGTATAAAGGCCGGTGACCATGCTTCTCAGCAAAGTTTCTACACAATTTCATTTGAGGGAGAAAAAAGCATAAAATACAAATCATAATATATATGATGACAAAATTACTAACTATATCTCATAATTGATCCTGCCTCCTCTGGAGAGGTAGAGATTAATGCATATCTAGCATATCACTTCTTAACAATAGGCTTCAGGTTTCCATCACAATCTTAGGATAGAAATGACGCCACCAATAAAGACAACAATAGAGCCTTTGCCAAAGAAGCTTGTATAAATAAACCTGCAATTCTCACCTCTAACTTCCTCCGTAGTAAATCTGCCTCTTGCACTTTTTCTTGCATTTTATTCTCACAGTTTGATATTGCTCTTTCAAAATCAGCATTTTCTGCCTGCAGTGTTGCCTCTCTTAATTGGGCCTGCCACATTGCCAAAATGCCAATGAGAAAGTTGAATCTACCAGTCACTTACAAGAAACTTGGTGAAGTTTTCTGCCAATAATTTGAAAACAGTATTAACAATAAATTCTCTCTCCAAGTGGCACAAAATTTTTGCAACATCACGAATGGAGGCGTCCGTCCATAAAATGTCATGTTTTTGTCCATTTCTTTTCAAGAAATCGTAATGTGCAAACTGAAAATAAAAACAGTTAATACTCTACACTGATTCACAGATGTCAAGTGCATGAAAGATAACAAGATTCAAAGTATTATTATCATAATTACCACCCAAGTTGTCCACATGCCAAATAATTAACAATCACACCTAGAGTCTCTTGATTCTCCGAGAATGGCAGAAGAAAACCTTAATAGCAATGTTATGGTCAAAATCATAACATAGAAATCTGTCGATTCCCCATCAGTGCTAGTCTAGAACCTGTGACGAGGAGATACCCCTAGTTTATAAAATCTGAAATAACTGGTTCAACGAGAACCAAATCAAACGACACTGAACGAAACTCATCAGTCCAATTGCCCACACAAACAAGATTAACTATACAATATGGTTGGCGCACAAAAATACCCTACCACACCACAATAAAATCAAGATTCAATGAGTGTTGGTTCAAATCAAACCCCAGATTTCTAACCATACATATATAAACAAGACATAATCTAACTCGTTTGCTAATGAATCAGACAAGACCCAAAGGAAAGAAATCTTTAATTCACAGAATAAACAAACACATTACAAAAAGCAAATGAGTATGAGACGAACTTGTTCCCGAGTCGTCGAATGGGCATTTAATTGACGGGCAAGAGCGGCATTGGAAGCAAGGGTGTGAGCGTGTAAGTGAGGGAGGCTCTGGGAGATGTCAGGAGGAGGAAGTCTCTGACGTAGATCCTGGATCAAACGGGTGAGAGATGCTGCCTTCTGATCCAATTCCCTAACGTACTTTTGCTGTTCCGGTGAGAACAGTAGTGGGATCCGATTTAACGCATCGCCTCCGTCGCTGTCGACGCCACCGCCTCCGACGACGTCCGCTGCCCATGCTAATAAACCAGCCATGGATAAGTCTGGTAAACTTGCGAGTTGCCCAGGACAGAGAATGAAAGATTCCAAATGAAAAGGCCTTCAAAGTCGTTGAATTATGGCCATGCTTCATTTTCAACTAATTTAATTTAATGTCATATAAACTCAAAAATAATTATCAAAATTAATTTTCAGAAACACTGTTAAAAGAACATAACTTAGAGGCCCAATAGAAGTGGGCCCAAAAAAGTCCGAGAAACACTAAAAATACAAGGCATGCCAATTAGCTAAAGCATGACATGGCCCAAAGCAAATGAAACAATTCCCGTTGACAACGGAAATTAGGTCTAGCATAAGAAATTAATCCCTCACAACATGACAAACTAAAGTTTGAATTCTTGTTAGGAGAGGTACCCATATTTAGTGTCTGATAGTGCCTCAAATAGGATTGCCTCCAATAGGATTGCCTCCAATAGGAGGACACCTATGCTTTAGCCTCAAAAAAAAAATTAAAAATTAAAAGGACACAACACCAAGGGGATTAAGTTTAAGGGGAAGAGCTAGTTCCTCACAGCATAACAAATTAAAATTCAAATTTTAACTGAAAGAGATGTCTATGTTTCGTACTAGATAGTGTCTTGAACAAGAAAAGAGAAGACAAAGACCTACCAAATGAAAAAGGGGACAAAATTCCAAACTTCTAGGCTACCTAATTATAACTAATTTTAATTATAGTTGTATTAATTACCAATATATTTATTAAAATTCATTTTTATCATGTTTATTTTTTCTAGAATTATATTTATTTCATTATCTAATGGCTTTCGCAGTTAGCAAAAAAGTCACCCTTACTTGTATATGAAATTGAATGAAACTTTTGATTCCTCAAGCTAAGTATGTCTCAATTATCGATTTAGTCATTGAAGTTTAATTTTTATCAATTAAATTTATAAAATTTTATAATCATTTAAAATTAGTTATTATAGTTTGAACACATAAAATTGTAGGTTGACAAAAAAAAAACAGAGAAGACATAAAATTCTAGACACATGAATGTGTAACTTTTAACTCGAGAAAAGACTACTAATATGAAATTTGGAAGAAAAAAAATAAGAATATGAAATTGTATAATTCTTTTGGCCAAAAAATATGAAATTGCATATGAAACTTTAAAGACTCAATTAATAATTAAACCTCAAAAACCAATAATATTAATAATTAAGGTAAACTTGAGCAACCAAAAAAACTTATTATCCCTATGAAATTAAAACATTTTAACTAGTTACAGTAATATTGTACTATTCTATCTCAAAACCGAACGTATTATTATGTCTAGTAATGTAATCTCAGTTTCTTGAGGGTATAAAAAGGCCAAATAATTTTGCTTTCTTAGGGTAAAAAGCCAAATTTTTTCATTAGTCTGATCGCTCACAAACTTTTATTGCCATTCTAATGCATCAGATTTCACAATCTATTCAACAAAACCTTATTTATAACATGATTGTTCATTGACTATAACGAAATGGAGCGTCTGCTTTAACGGCGCACCAATAAATGACAACTAGGGGTAGTCTTTAACTTTGCCAACTTGATTAAATTCGTTCCGTCCATTATTCCTTCTTTAATTATTGTTGCATAACATACCTTCATTTTCCATCACATCTTAAGGCAAAAATAATCTTAATAAAACTTAAGGGTAGAGATGCAAATTTAACCCTAGTATTACTTTTCAAGTACAATTTTATCCTAATCTTTTTAATGGTATAATTTTATTTATGATATTATATATTTTTTAGGTGCAATTTTACCCATAATATTTTTTTATGCAATTGCTTCCCAAAAATATCAGGGGTAAAACTACACTTCTACCCAAATAATAATTATTACCTCTAGTTCTTAATATAACAGTTCGTTGGAATTTTATTTTGGTCCTAAATATGAGATCTCACTTTCTCTCATATTTATCAATGTGTTTTCATGGTAGTCCTTATAAAAATAGTAGTTCTAACCAATATACTTGATTAGTAAGGATATTTTAGGAAAGATAACACCTATTTATTATAGATAACTAACTTAACTATTTTTTTAATATATTCAAATTAATCAACTAGCTTTTATATTAAGAATAGAAGGTAGTATCATTGATAAAGATATAACTCGTTTAGATCAATCCCATTCCACCTCTGCCCTGCAATGCAATGCCAATGCAGTGTAATATTTTTCGACAATAGAGATTGGCATGTTATTTGAGAGAGGTGCAATGAGTTAATTTTTAATAATAATTTAAAATTAATGTATAACATAAAGACAATTTTAGCCTTAAAAATAATTTTAGGCGGGAGCTGCCTTGCCGAAGATGGCCTCGCCATAGCCGCCAAAATGCAAGCTCTGTAGCTGTTGCCCCACTCTGCCCTATGTCCTCAAATTTATATATCTCTATTGCATCCAAAAACCCAACGCAAATCAGTTTTAAATTTCTAGTATTTCATCCAAAAGAAATTTTTTTCTGCTTTATATAAAATCTCTCTCAACAGCTTCTTTCTTCCCAAGGCTAGCCTAGTGATTTTGAAAATTAATGTGGATGCCTCCCAAAGTTGATGCCATTCCCAAAATGAGTGGGCGTCATGTGGTGATTTAGAGATGCAAAATCGAACCAAAAGGTATTTGGATGTGTCTAAAAATATTTTTTAAAAACACTTTTTTTATAAATTAATGTAAAATTTTGTCTAAAAATACTTTTTAAAAGTATTTTTTTATAAATCAATTCCAATTATTTTACATATTTACTTCACATATCCTAAAATCACTTCTAAAATTATTATTTGATTTTTATCTAAACATCTCCGCATGTCTTTTTGAAGCCACTGTTGATGCAATTTCTCGCCTTGTCAGTGATTCTGCTGATGCAACTCCCAAAATAGGTCTGTTAGGGATTTTGACGATTAATCGTTGATTTGTTTTTGGAGGGCAGATGTTGTCTATTTACCTGAATTGTTAAGTACAAAATTGACATTTTATAAAAATTTGCAGCCTGCAATGAATATTCATAGGGTTCCCTATGAATAGATATTACTAAAAAAAATGTGTTATTTCTTTTACCTCTGCAATTTTTTTTTTTTTTACTATCCTAATGCCTAACAAAACATGTAATCTATCGTAATGTAATAATGATTACCATTAAATGCCTACAATAGGATTAAACCAACAAGTCCTAAATTTTCTATGTGGGCTTTCTAGCTCAATAACACTAAAAATCTTTAAAAAAATTTTATGTGCTACATTCAGTATTTAATATAAGACTTCGTTTGATTTTTATATTAATCACAAATATAAAAAAATAATCTATTTTTTTTTTAAAAATAGTCCTCATAATGATAATGGTTCTAGTCAATACACTTAATTAATAAGAATATTTTAGAAAAAACAACACCTATTTATTACAAATAACTAATTTAATTAGTTTTCTTAATCTATTCAAATTAGTCAACTAGCTTTTATATTAAGGACCTAAAATAGTATTAATTTGTGGATTTGACTTTCTATGAATATAATAGATGTGTCAGTTTCCTCTATAAATGAACGATGACAAAAAAAAAATCTATTTTTATCAAATAATAAAATTGAGAATGATAAGGTTAATATTATTTTTAGTCTTTAAAATTTGATCTCCTTTTGATTTTGGTCCCTAAAATTTGACCTTATTTTGGTACACATAAAATTTTTTTTAATCCCTAACCAAAACAACTAATTTCAAATTTTAAGGACCAAAATCAAAACCACTTTTTCTATGGCTGATAAAAATCTAGGACCCTTTAATATCCCTTATCAATAATACAAGCTTTTGCTTTGGTGGTGGTCCTGCGACGTGAAACAATCCACTGAGTGGCACGGTTAAGGCTGATAAAAATCTTGCTTTGCTTGCCTCTTATCTTGCCTGAAAATATTCAAAAGACGCTGAATTTGAGCCATATTCATTGGAGTTTGATTTTTATTGAGCATGTTGTTGGGTTTTGGGTGTAGGAGCATTTAATTAAAAAGATAAGATTTCGTATTATTCAAAAAAAAAAATCTTCACTACTCATCATCATTCATGAACCAATCAATTCAATTAGAAAAAATCACAAAAAAAAATCTTAAAAATAAAAAAACTACAAATAGAGATCCATTACAATATTAGTATTGGACTATTGGTTTTGACAACAATTGATAAACAATTGACAACAATTCCTGTGAACAGGTCCTTATATGTAATTTTTTAATTTTGAAAGTTTTTTTTTGTGATTTTCTCATTCAATTGATCTAATTAATATTGATACATCATTCATGTACTCCTTCTGGTCCTACTTATAAAACTTTATTTATAGTCTATAAATAAAGTCTCATAATTAGGATTAGAGGTAGTATATAACATGCAAATCTTTAGAGCTTTGCATGAGACTTCTAGCACCATGCGTTTTGTGTATATAGAGTCGTAATATGATTCATATGATAAATATATGGCACGTGTGGGATTTGAAAAGTCAAAAATCTTATAATAATGTACCTTTTCTTTTGGGACAGCACCCACCCACATGACTCGGACTATCTGTTATCTCTATGGGGCCAACATATGCTTGAGACTGCTTCGATCAACTTTGATGCGAATAAACATTTATTAAGTATTCAAATATGTAGATTTTTTTTGGTCCCCGAAATAAGAATAAGGCTCGATATTATTAGAAATGCCCAGAAAAATCATATTCATAGAGCAAAAACATAGATATATTCTTATGAATGTGAAAAGTCTACCAAATTAGTATTAGTTGATTTGAATTGGAATTAATTATCAAATCAGCCATAATTGTTTATAATTTTAAGTGAATTGCTCAATTTAGTTTGTCTCCTGTGATACATATCTCATTTAGTAACTATATTTATATATATATTTTGGTAAGTCTTTTTCTTTTATCAGCTTTTGGTAAGTCATATAATTAAATTTTTCCATATGAATATACAATTTGTTTTTATTTTATTATTGTGTAGACTTTGCTATCATGAATATAGTGCATGCTAAATATATAGGAATAAAATTAAAAAAATTGGTAA